GGGCTGGGTGGGGGTGGGGGCCGCGGGGGTCGGCGTCTCAGAAGCCTCATCTCCCCTCCCCCTCCTTGCAGATGTGGTCACCTGCCTGGCGCTCGACCTGTGCGGAATCTACCTCATTTCGGGCTCCCGGGACACCACCTGCATGGTCTGGCGGGTCCTGCAGCAGGGGAGGGGGGCCCGGCTCCACGTCGTAGCCCGGGGCCGTGTCCGAGGGGCCCCTGGGCGGCTGGGGACTTCACTCGCAGGGAGGGGGGAGGGCTGGTCCCTGGGGCTCACTCCGGGGCGAGGAGAAGCTACTGTGTGCTCTGAGGGCTCTGACAGCCAGCCTGCCCCGGAGGGTCTTCCCAGCCTTCGAGAGCAGCCTGGTGCGCTTGGGGGGTGTGGAACTGCTCCCCCGCAGCTTTGCCAGGGCCCCTCAATCCTGACCTACAGAACAGCCAGCCCTGGGCCCGGGCCCCGTCCTGCCCTGCCCCTGCCATGCCAGCCCAGGGCCTCCACACCCAGCTCTGACCAGGGCCAGCCCCCTCATGCCTGGCCCAGTCCCGGCCTCTCCTGAGCACAGGTGGCACCTCCCTCCTAGCTTTGTGGCCGTTCTGTGCCGGGCCTGGCTGCCTCCTGGCGGCGAGGATAAGACAGTGCCGGGCTCGGCCCCACCAGCATGGAGCCCCTGCAGCATCTCGCCCCTCGGCCCGGCAAATGAGGCCATGTGAACTGCTCCAGCCTCACTTGGCCTGCCTTTCCCCAGCCGCACCAGGGGCTTCCCGGCCCCAGCCTTGAGCTAGGTCTGTCCCCTCGCCTGCTGCCTCTGTGCCTTTGCCGGCCAGATCCTCAGCCGCCCCGCGGAGACCAGTGGCTCAGGATCTGACCCGTGTCCCCTGGTGTCTCTCCAGGGAGGGTTCTCCAGCAACCTGGCTCCCAAACCCGTCCAGGTCCTGTACGGCCACGACGCCGAGGTCACGTGCGTGGCCATCAACACCGAGCTGGACATGGCTGTGTCAGGGTCCCAGGTGAGGCTGGGACCTGCTGCGTGGTGGGGAGGGGCGGGCGGAAGTGCAACAAGAGTTTGCTGCGGTGCCAGGCAGCTGGGCCCCATTAGATGTGCCCCTTGGCTCCGGCACGTCTCCATTCTCCATTCTCCCCTCTGTTCTGAGCTAACCCTGGGCTCTTTCCAGAGCAGTTCGTAACGTGAACGGTGTCTCTGCGGTCAGGATGCTTGGTTACTCCTCACCCCTTAACCGCGTTCCCGTACGCTGCAGCAGTTACCTACGGCTGGGACGGCACCCCTAGGCGCCCCAGGGGACAATACAAGTCACCAGACTCTTTTACTCAATTTGAATCCTCGTGTCTCTAGCGCCCAACATAGCCATGGGCCAGCGAGGCGAGTGACGGGGCTGCCCGAGCTCCCCTCCTGCATCTCCTCGGGCTGCAGGATTGTCGTAACCATGACGCTCTCCCCGGATAGGAGAGTGTGGCTACCTGGGCTGGGGTACCTAGGGTTTGCAGGAGAACCGGAGCGGCACTTTGGTTGGCTGCAGAGGGCGCACACGGTTCTCGCCGTCAGCGAGGGGCGTGGGAGTGTAAATGACTAACCAGTTCACCCCCCCGCGGATGCTTACTGGTTAATGGTGCCGGTTACACGCAGTGAAGGCTCCTTCCCGGGAGCCGGGCGGGTGGGGGTGGGCGGCCCCCTTCTCGGGGAGGTTTGGCTGCAGGCGCTGCAGTGTAAAGCTTACTTGAGTTTTAGACTGTCGCACAGTGCTTTTTTGTGACCGGCACCTCCGGTCAGAGCGTACCTGGAAAGAACAGAGCGTCCCAGCACCTCTGTACGCAAATGTCCGGCAACTGGCTGGGCTGCGTGTCTTAAAGGAGCTGCATCTCTTAAAAGGGCAATGCCGGCCCCACACGTTTTTTTTTTATTTTTTTTTGCTCAACAACTTTTCCCCTAGAGTACCAGCACCTCCCTCCCCCTCCTCCCCAGCATGGGTAACGGTGTAATGGTGGAGATTTAGCTGTGTGTGCGTGTCCCTTTAGTAATCCCGGGAGGGAAGAATCTACATGGCTGGAATCTACATGGCTGGTAACCATGGCTGGATACTAGAACTGGGAGGGACCTCGAGAGTCATTGAGTCCAGTCCCCTGCCCTCACGGCAGGACCCAGTACTGTCTAGACCATCCCTGATAGACATTTATCTAACCTATGTCTCCTGGGATGCCCGTAGAGTCCCTATCGGCCACTGCTTGCCCACCACTGGCCTACCACAGTCCCCCTTCCAGGGCTGCTCCCAGGAGGCCAGACGTGTGCTGGTCCATCGGGCGCTCGGGCCGGGATTACGTAGGAGAGGATTCCGCTAGCATGAGTCCAAGGCCCCAGTTGGCTCTGCTACGGCTGATCCGCTGGGCCTGGCCGGCCATACTGCCAGTTCCTCTAGTCTGAGCTACGGGAGAGCCAGGCACCCGACAGCTGCACGTATTACAGAGCCAAAGGGAAATCCAGTCTGACATGAAATCTGCCCCGGCTTCAGCCCTGGAAGCAGGCGTCCCTCGGCCAGGGGTTCCAGCAGCTTTCACAGGGCTCGGATCAGTTTGGGGGTTCCCCGGGGCGCTTTATATATTCTGCTTTCGGGGCTTCGTAGCGGGGCCGTGCGCTGATTTGGAACAGAGCCGCTAGCGGGTGGCGCTGTGGCACAACAAATGGCTTCCCCCCTGCCCCTCTCCCAGGTGTTGAGGTTTCTTTCGGGATCCCCGCTTAATAGGAGCCCCCGTTATGAGCAGGGATCTCGCCCTTTCCCAGCCAACTCGGGGATGAGTCCAGAGTCAGTCCCGTGCTTGTACATTTCAACGTTCCTTCTGGGTGTGCAGTGTGGGGAGGGCCCATGGTTAGCCGAGAGCCTGTCCCCTCGCCCACCTCCTGGTTTGGGGAGAGCCCCGTTTACACAGAGCCCGGCAGACGTCAGTCCAGTAAAAGATCACCGCCCCGGCTTGGTCTCTGTGCTTCTAGTGCAACAGTGAACCCCCCGAATCCTTCTCTTACTGCCCAGGGGACCCCGATTTACCAGGCAAACAAACGGGTGGGTGAAAACGCGGCTGTGAGTTTGGGGGCCAACAGGCAGTGTGCCCGGTTTTGCCTTCCGTCTCTCACAGCGAATTATTGACACCCAACCTCCCCACCTCCCTCCTGGCCAGTTACGGGTGACTTGGTGTAAGAAAGCGGGTGTCACTGCCTTTGGAGCGAAGCCAAGAGGGGAGACCGGTGTTACCCACCTAGGCAAAAATCCCTCCATTTCTCCCTGGGCCATTTTATCGTCTCGTCCAGAGGGGGTGGAATGGGGGGGGGCTGCCGCACCCCCTGGCTTGAAGTGGTTTCGGTCACATCCGAGCTTTACAGTTTGGGGCAGTCTCAGCACCCCGCCTGTACACACAGCTCCAGGGTCTCCCACCCTTACCCGCTCTGTCAGTCCTATTTACGCGTGGACTTTCCTCCCTAGGCAGACACTATGAGCGCAGAGGAGTGACTGCTTTGTGACTAGCTGTGGGTCTCTGCCTGCTGCCCCTCTGCAGGGGTCCGAGGCCACCTACAGCTCCCTGTATTTGGGCTGGTGATAGGTGCCAGCGTCCTGGGGCGTGACTGGGGCATTGGAGCTTCCTGCAGGACTTGGCGGCACCCTGGCCTGTCCTGGCTCCACCTCGCCAGTGTCCGGGAGTTTGTCCAGCTTTGGGGGTGTTTGTCTTGCTCCCAGGACCCCTTTTGTGGGAGGCCGGGGGGAGAACAACCGGAAACCTGCCCGGCGGCGATGAGATGGAGCCTTGACCCAGCTGGAAGGGCAGTGGTCCAGCATCCTCGGGACAGGTGGAGAATAAGGCTGGGGTTTTCAGAGGCCCAGGGGGATTAGGCACGCAGTGCCCATGGTGGCAAATGGGAGCACAGCGCCCCGTTGCCACGGTGACAGTCGAAAGGCCTTGTCGTTCTGGCAGGACGGCACCATCATCGTCCACACCATCCGCCGGGGCCAGTTCATGACGTCCATCAGACCGCCCTGCGAGAGCTCGCTGCCCGCCACCGTGGCAAACCTCGCCGTGGGCCCGGAGGGGCAGATCGTTGTCCAGACCACCGTGGCGGGGCGGGGCGTGGGCCAGGCCGGGCGTGGCCTTTCCCCGTGGGACGCCCCCTGCGGGCAAGACCGGGCGTCGCAGACACGCTCCCCAACCCGTCAGGGTGCAGCGGTGGCGCCGCGCCTTGGAGCAGGTCAGCTGCATTATGATCCCTAATAGACATCACGGAGGCCTTATCCCTTTGGTAGGAACAGCCCACCCAGCACCCAGCAGGGAGCGCTGTTCCACCGCACACCCACCACACACACACACCTTTCCCATTTGCTATAGAATCACAGAGCTGGGATGGACCTCCAGAGGTCAAGTCCTGTCCCCTTCCCCCCCACCCCTCCGGGCAGGGCCAAGCACCGTCTAGATCATCCCTACTCGATGTCTGTCCAGCCTGCTCTTAAATATCTCCAGAGATGGGGATTCCACAACCTCCCTGGGCAATTTATTCCAGTGTTTCACCACCCTGACAGGCAGGAAGTTTTTCCTAAAGTCCAACCTAAACCTCCCTTCTTGCAATTTAAGCCCATTGCTTCTAGTCCTGTCCTCAGGGGTTGAGGTGAATAATTTTTCTTTCCTCTCCTGGCCTCCTCCTCCTAAAAGTGCCCTTTTAGGTACTTGAAAGCTGAGATGCCTCCGGAGACGCTCAGATCCCGTTTACGGCTCAGTTGGATGCCTGTGGCTGGCCTGTGCCACTCGGCTTGGGCTAAGGGCTGTTTAATTGTGGTGTAGACATTCAGGGACCCTCCCACCTCATCAGGTCCAGCCCAAACATCTACCCCTTCTCAAACAGGCTCTTAGTCCAGCCCCCGCAAGCCAGCGGCAGCTTATTAACTGCAATCTAGGCAGGCCCTGGTTTCACACCTAACCTGGGAGGGTCCCTCGAGGCGGCCGTGTGGCTGTAGATGTGCCGAGGGAAACGGAGAACTTGCGTCTGCCCTGGAGAAAATGAGCACAAAGGGTCCTGGAGGACAGGGGCGGCTGGTTCGCCCGGGCACGGCCACTGCTCCGGTTCTAATGGCTTTGTCGATCCACGTGATGGCAGCACCGCGAGCCAGCGCCTCGATGCAACGCCCTCGCTCCCTCGGAGCTAAGTGCAGCGTGCGCTGGGGCCTGTGGCTTTTCTGCCCGTCTGGTCGCGTTCGGGATTTGGCTGGTCCGTGAAAAGCGCAGCACTAGTCTTAAAAATGGCGTCTCCGCGAGGGATGTTAAATCTCGGTGAATTGAATTGTCGATAACCTCAGGAATTCTTATCGGTTACTCGACTATTCTATAGTCTCCAGGGCTGGGGCCAGCAGCCAGGGCGCTCCTGCCCCACCCCTGAG